GTGTTATCCACCTCCAAATTAGGGGTTTGGTTTATTTTGGGCGTAAAACTATATATTAGTGCATTCCCCATCTAATACTTGACCGTGACAGGATGCAACATTACAGCTCAAAATATTGTTATTTTGGGACTTTATGAATACAATATTTAACAGCCCGAAAGAACATGTGTAGAGATAAAGAGAAACAATGGAATTTACAAAGTAAGGAGGTAGTAATTGTATAAAAGGCGCTGTGGCTTAGTGGTAAAGCGCCTCTCTTGTAAACAGGAGTTCCTGGGTTCAAATCCCAGCAGTGCTTCTTTGATACAGAGATTATCTCCAAATTTCAAAGTTCAAAGTTTCAAAGTTAGTTTCACATCCCACCACAAAAGTGGCCTCTTCAATGTTCTTTCAAACAAAGTTACGTTTATATTCAGAGTTACTCACCCAAACTCATTGTGAGGATGGATAGGGTTTAAAAAAGAGTCAAATAAATTTCCTTTTAGCAAAAAAACTGTTGCAAAGCTGAGTGTTTTTGATCTAGTACTTTTTCAATCTGCTATCCCACTGTCTTCTTGCAACATAAATTGTGGTGAAGGAGGCGCTGTAGCTTAGCGGTCAAAGCGCCTGTCTTGTAAACAGGAGATCCTGGGTTCAAATCCCAGCAGTGCCTCTATGTTAAGGAAACTATCTCTTGAATCAGGTGTGTTATCCACCTCTGAAATAAGGGTTTGGTTTAGTTTGGGCGTAAACTATATTAGGCCATTACCAATCTAATACCTGACTGTGACAAGCGGACAAACACGATGCAACATGACAACTAAACATGTTTTCTGTTTGGGATTTTATGAAAGCACATTTTCACAGGGTGAATAAACATTTGTAGAAATAAAATGACTCACTAGAAGTTAAAAAATAAGGAGGTAGTGGATGGAGAAACGGGCGCTGTGGCTAAGTTTTAAAGCACCTGTGAACAATGAAAGGAAACTACTGAGCACAGTATCTGATAAAAATGAAAACTCTAGGAGCGGTGCTGTGGCTTAGCGGTAAAGCGCCTGTCTAGTAAACAGGAGATCCTGGGTTCTACTCCCAGCAGTGCCTCTTTGTTACATAGAGCATCTATTTAGATACAGCTCTCGTCGTTACCACGTTCAATTACATTCAATAGTAAATGTTTGGTAAGGTTTGTACTTGAAAATGACTTAGGTTATAGTTTAAAGTTGACAGTTATCCACCTCAGAAGTAATGGTTTGGGTTAGTTTGTGTTTATAAGTTAGATTTTTTAAATCTAGATGTATCTGATGCCCACTGGTAAATATCTATATAAGGAACAGTAATTGAGAAAATCATAATTTATAGAGGTTGGGTGTTCCTAAAAGCAACCGTTTTCACTTTCTACGGACGAATTAAAGCCTAAAAGAAAGACTCTAGAGCAGGGATGGGCTACTTAGATGGTGGGGACCACATCATTTATGTACTGGCCACCAGGGGGCCGCAGAGTTATACTTGGAACACACACACAAATTCCGTGTATTGTGTGTAATTATTAACAAATATACTGACACAAGTCTGACATCTTCATTGACATTTTTCAATCTTTCAGGGAACATCCTCTATGCTCACTAAACAAATATCAGTTCACAGAAATGTTATTTAATTTTTACAAGTGGCATGTTTGTGTTGAACAGGTTATTTAACAGTGGAATGAAACTATTTTAAACTATTGGAAAGCACGGAAAATGCATGTGCATTAAGATTAAACATTAAGATGACATTGTGTACGCAGCTCGCAACATAACTAGGAGTCTAGTGGACGGTATCAGTACTACAAGTAATACAAATAGAGCAGAGGAGAGTGTTTGGTTATAATAACCGATACATTTAGAAAATTCAAGAGTAATGGCTATTGTTTTTGATATTATTGACATTTTGTGCTCCAGTGGCGCAATCGGTCAGCGCGCGGTACTTATAAGACAGTAGCCTGCAGAGTGATGCCGAGGTTGTGAGTTCAAGCCTCACCTGGAGCAGAGAAGTTTTAACCTGCATTCAAAGGATATTATCTGGGTTACACTACTTGGAATGAAGCAGACGGAAAGTATTTTTCGGTGCTCATTGAGTCATTCATTAAATCTCACAGGCCAAATATTGATGAATGTGACAGAAGCCATATGCATTGGACACACGGTAAATATGGTCATATGGCTTTGGTTTGCTTTGGTTACAAAAAAAGAATTCAGCAGAGGGAATGAAAAGTAAACTATTGAGAGGCGCTCCAACTCCCAATACCATGTATAAGCAACAGTGCAGAGGAATATTATATATATTAAACTACTAAAATATCTGTTATTGAAACGTTGACAGTGTTTGTGAGACAATAAACACACAGAAAGTCAGGTTAAACCAACTCCACAATATATTCATATTATATAATATCATGTTCATCATATTACATTACATGTTTTGTTTTATGTCATCCTTATTGTTGTTCTGTTGTTTGTATGTTACATGTGTAACTAATGTGCTGCAGGTCACCCTTGAAAAAGAGATCTTTTGATCTCAAGGGGCTTCACCTGTCTAAATAAAGGCTACAAACAAACAGCTGTGTTTCATCTCATTATTGACCGACCACTGAGTGATGCTACACATCCATACCTGAGACCTACAACTCCAAACCCCCCACAACACACACCCTTACCTGAGAGGGGGATTGGAGGATATTTGCATGGGTGTGACTTCCATTGTCTTTGACTCTCTCAGAGAGTTAATTGACCCCCACCCACAATTCACACCCTGACCTGAGAGGGGGATGGGAGGATGTGTGCATGTCTGTGTGTTTGAAAAAGACAAAGAGAATGAAAGTCACACAGAGAGAAAGTTTGACTAAAGCCATAAACAGACAGAAAGTCAGGTTAAACAATTTCCACAATATTGAAAAGTACTTGATATACTTAAAGGCTTGATGCCTGCAACAGGATATTAGATTAATATATGTATTATTTTAATCACAGAGTAACAAGACACACAATCAAAGTGAAGGTTACAAAGTATTCATTGGAATTGATAGTTATATGTTTCTTCTCCTTCCTAATGGTTCAAATGAACATATTATTTGCTGTACCTAACCATGTATAAACAACAGTGCAGAGGAATATTATATTAAACTACTAAAATATCTGTTCAGCTACTCTCCTCTGTCATCTCAGTATCCTGAGTTGTCCCACCCCCCACACTGGTGTGTGAGGAGAGGAGATATCACAGTCACACTGAGCTGTAGGCACAGAGATGTTATTGAAACGTTGACTAAACGACAGTGTTTGTGAGACAATAAACACACAGAAAGTCAGGTTAAACCAACTCCACAATATATTCATATTATATCATATCATGTTTGTCATATTACATTACATTACATGTTGCTTGTTTTGCTAAAATAAAGCTGTAAAGACTTGTTTTGAACACACATTAATGTGCGTTGACATCTTGCAATAACTAACACATGTGTTTGTTTACCCGAAATCTCAACCTTCACAGACAGTCTGCGTATATTAGTTTTTTGACTTAATTAGTAGATGAACATGGTTTAAGTTGAACATGTTCTACAACTAAATCAGTGTCTCTCTCTTACACATGCAAATATGTCCCCTACCAAACGACTGTCCACTTCAGACCTTTTGTTTCAGAAATTGCATTTGCATCGTGAGATGATATGACTGGCCTCGTCAAACCTGTTATTCCAGAGTAACAACACACACAAATGTAACAAAGTATTCATTGGAATTGATAGTTATATGCATTTTAATGTTTTAAAGTGTCTTTTTGAAATGTGTTTCTGTTTCATTTCTATGTTTTTTTTCAACTTCCACTTTGAATACTCACACTGAGAATTCAATATTTAATCCAGCTTTTATGTTGACTTTGTCAGACTAAGAACAACAATTTCATTTTTAATTCAGTACATCTTCTAAATTAAAATTTAAAAAGACTTATCAGACATATTACACGTTTTTAAATGTCTTTCTACATGTGATTATTTTGTTTGAAAAGTTTTTAGATGCTTCTATTCATGTTATTGATTTGTGTCAATATTATAGACCACTTTGAATCTCCATCCCCCTCAGGGGCGGATCAATTACTAGGGGGGAGGTGGGCGGGGCTGGGGTGAGGTATATAAGCTTCTCCTTTTATTCATTGTTACAGAGCTTCAACCTGTTCACTCAACTGATCAACAACCGAACAACAACTGAACCGAGAACTGCTTTGAGGATGCCTCAACAAAAGGCTAAGATGTAATATTTTCTTGTTATATTATTAAATATATATTTTTCATAATAAATGTTTAAAAGCTTTTCAGCATGTCTTTTGCATTTATTGGTTCAAATGTTCAAATGTAAAGCCCTGGAGGTGCTGGTACCACCTTTAAAGAAGTTAATTATTCATTTTGTGTTTCCTCAAAGAAACCGCAACGCTATCTACTGTCTGATGTGCAGCAAGATACCTATCAGCATCAAAAGACACTTGGAAGATCGGTGCATGAAAGGATGCAGTGCAGTGGAAATAGCGGCTCAGGTGGATATTGCAAAGCAGTCCACCAGGGTGTGGACCGCGACACAAAGGGTCTGGGAATACAAAACCTTAGTAAAGTTACTGCCCGATCATGCCTCCCGTATGGCAATGGTGAAGTATCTCATTCTGAATGGCTACTTCATCCTGAACAAGCCTTTTATTGAAGATATGGACTGTGCGTGTGGACGTGAGGCACCCGGGACTTCCGACTCTGTGACTGCTACCACCTCAGCAGTCGCCACCTCAGCTCCCACTGATGACTCTGCGACTCTTGCCACCTCGGCAGTCGCCACCTCAGCTCCCACTGATGACTCTGCGACTCTTGCCACCTCAGCAGTCGCCACCTCAGCTCCCACTGATGACTCTGTGACTGCTACCACCTCAGCAGTCGCCACCTCAGCTCCACTGATGACTCTGCGACTCTTGCCACCTCAGCAGTCGCCACCTCAGCTCCACTGATGACTCTGCTGACTGCTACCACCTCAGCAGTCGCCACCTCAGCTCCCACTGATGACTCTGTGACTGCTACCACCTCAGCAGTCGCCACCTCAGCTCCCACTGATGACTCTGCGACTCTTGCCACCTCAGCAGTCGCCACCTCAGCTCCCACTGATGACTCTGCGACTCTTGCCACCTCAGCAGTCGCCACCTCAGCTCCCACTGATGACTCTGTGACTGCTACCACCTCAGCAGTCGCCACCTCAGCTCCCACTGATGACTCTGCGACTCTTGCCACCTCGGCAGTCGCCACCTCAGCTCCCACTGATGACTCTGCGACTCTTGCCACCTCAGCAGTCGCCACCTCAGCTCCCACTGATGACTCTGTGACTGCTACCACCTCAGCAGTCGCCACCTCAGCTCCCACTGATGACTCTGCGACTCTTGCCACCTCAGCAGTCGCCACCTCAGCTCCCACTGATGACTCTGTGACTGCTACCACCTCAGCAGTCGCCACCTCAGCTCCCACTGATGACTCTGCGACTCTTGCCACCTCGGCAGTCGCCACCCTCAGCCCCCACTGCTGACTCTGCGACTCTTGCCACCTCAGCAGTCGCCACCTCAGCTCCCACTGATGACTCTGTGACTGCTACCACCTCAGCAGTCGCCACCTCAGCTCCCACTGATGACTCTGCGACTCTTGCCACCTCAGCAGTCGCCACCTCAGCTCCCACTGATGACTCTGTGACTGCTACCACCTCAGCAGTCGCCACCTCAGCTCCCACTGATGACTCTGTGGACTCTACCCCTCAGCAGTCGCCACCTCAGCTCCCACTGATGACTCTGCGACTCTTGCCACCTCGGCAGTCGCCACCTCAGCTCCCACTGATGACTCTGCGACTCTTGCCACCTCGGCAGTCGCCACCTCAGCTCCCACTGATGACTCTGCGACTCTTGCCACCTCAGCAGTCGCCACCTCAGCTCCCACTGATGACTCTGTGACTGCTACCACCTCAGCAGTCGCCACCTCAGCTCCCACTGATGACTCTGCGACTCTTGCTACCTCGGCAGTCGCTTGTACCGCCTCTTCCTCACCACAAGAGGAGGAGGAGACCGATTCCAGTGAAACACCCTCTTCTGACGAGATGACAAGAGACAGTTCCAGGAGAAGGTTAGTACAACAGATGTATTTGAAATGTTGTACAGTTTATCACCTATGAATTGACGTGTAAACTTGTAGTCAGATTTTTTTTAATCATGATGTCCTTCATTTTCAAAGGTATTCCACGGGCACTGTGCGAGAAGCAATGCAAGCTGGCGGTATGTATGAAAAGTGCCCACCGGAAAGCAAGCTTCTTGTGGGCTTCAAAAATCACCTGATTGGCGCCCTACAGGTCCAAAACTGCCAACAGGCGGTAAGATATATTAACTCACAGCACATTCAGTTTGTCTAGTTTATTTACAAGATGTGGATGCTAACAATTGTTTCTCAACTTCCTTCAAAGGTTGACAATGTGTCCCGGTTCCTACGCTATATGCAGCCGGAAGGAGAACCTAATTTAGAATTCCTGACCAAGACAACAGAGACCATGGACTACATGAGGGCCCTAAACAACTCAGGCTTGTGTGCAGCCACTATCCTCAATTACATGAAGAACATAATCAGGTTCCTGCAGTACTTGAAAGGGAGCGTCGATATGAATGAAGACGGGATTAAGATTCAGAAGTACATCGACTACTTGAAAACCATTCGGAAACCTGTTACAAGGAAACATTCAGGGAACGTATGCAGTACGAGGTACATGTTTTACCTTTACGATTCATTCTGTATTGTCCTTCTGTGTTGTACTTAATGTTTTCTCCTAGTACAATCCTGACTGTTATAAACAACCTATTTCTCCTTTTTATTCTTTGTTTAGATACGATCGAATTGTGGAAGGCATGCCCACCGTTCGTGACTGCAACCTGGTTTTGCGGAGTGGAAAGAAAAGGTTCTTGGACATATACAACAGGATGGCTATCTCTAAGATAGTGGTCTCGCCAACTGATAAAACGTGGTACCGCTACTACTGTGAAGCAGTGATGATGTTGCGCCACTTTCAGCGACCAGGAGTTGTTGAAGGCATGACTGTAAGTGGGAATTCAGCATTTAATTCAGCATTTACGAATTAAGGGTTTGAAACGTGGGGAAAAGTGCTGTAAATAGAGACATATTGTATATTATATATTGTTAATTGAGTTTTTTAGACATTAATGCATTTTAATTTGTCATTGTTTTCCAGGTAACAGAGTGGGTTAACCGTAAGCTTACTGACGGAAGATATCTGATCTGCATCAAGAATCACAAAACCGGGGCCACGCATGTTGCAACAATAGCCTTAACGTTGGAGGAGGAAGCTGTAAGTTATTAAGCAGCAGAATGTTTTATTATTACGCAAAGTGTTTAGTGTATTACAGTCAAGTAATTTACTTCCTTGTTCCCACAGTGGTACCAGGGGTACTATGAGTTTATTCGCCCTG